TGTTTAGGGCCTGTGCGGCAACAAGGCAATCAATATTTGACATTTTAACTTCTGTACATGTTCATGTGAAACCAAGAGATATGAATCCCTGATAGGTGTTTTTCTCGTTTTTTCTTGTGTACAAGAAATAGTGTGTTTATTGAACAGACTATTTTTGTTGTTGTAGGTTGCATTGCCAAGAGAGTAGCGAAGAAAGTTCAGAGACAGAATCTGTCTATTCTCTGAAATGTCACATATCACATGAGGTGAACCACTTGCATGAAGGATTAAAACATGTGAGTAATGCCATCAAATCCATTGAAGACTTTGTTTTGGTTTATTATGATTTATGAGACATAGCATGATTATGTGAAAGATCGTCCTAAGTCTAACTCAGAAATATAACTGTATATGCTTTATCTTTTCTCCGTCAGAAAATGAAGTCCCAAACTTGTGGTGCATTATCTTGTATTCAGAGTTTTGGTTTTTATTTATCATACAACCTTGTATGTTGTCATTGTTTGATATCTGTCTCTGACATATTGCATGCATAGAAACTTTAGACCAACTTTGTTAGATGTTCCATGTGGCGGTATATCTCAGACTATACATATGATCAAAGTTCCAACTCTTCTCTGCCTTGCTGTAGGGACTGAAAGGAGAACTTGAAAAAACATCTCCTGCTCTGGGTCGTACGGCAGTTTACATAAAGGAGTCTCTGATAGATTCCTTGCCAAGGTGATTAGTCTCTGCTTTTTTTTTTTTGTGCCCTAAAGTCCTTGGTTCCCTGCAATATTCTTGTGACAGGCTTTATAACCAGCATGTTCCAAAGGAAAAACTTATGAAGTTTCTAAGTTAATGCTACTTCTAATCCTTTTTCCTCTGACCAGAAGTTTCTTAATCTCTTCTTGCTGATCTTGAAGGTATTTGACTGTTCAGTTTGTGAGATTCTTCTGGAAACGGGAGAGTAATCAGAAAGCAAAAATTCTCCGGGTATGGTAGCTTTCTGTTTTGTATTTGAAAGAGAACTCGGTTGCAAAACATTGTTATGATAGTCTCCACGTGTTTTTGATCTTTGAAGAAAGTGGATTATCCGTTGGAGTTGGATATATTTGATCTTTGTTCTGAAGATCTGCGAAAGAAATTGGAAGCTCCCCGCAAGGTATCTTCTTTGCGATCTTTTCATCTGAGGTGGTTAATTAAAATATTAAAACTGAGAAGCTGTGTCTTTCAGAAACTTAGAAATATTGAAGGTCAAAAGTTTGGTGTGCAAACCAATGCGAAGAGCAGCGTAAAGGGGGATGACGTGAAAATGACAGATGCTGAGGTACCAAATTTATTTACTCTGAACCAATGCGCTAAATACGGTTGTCTAAGATCTTTGCTCTATATTTCTCTTCAGGAATCATCAAACAAAAGTGGCGAATCATCCACAGGCAACCAACAGGGAGGTATATTCTTTAAAAACCCCTTCTCAACATCTTTCTTGTGTAGATTGGAATGCGATGTAATTGCCCTATATGTTGGATTTAAAAAATTGGTTATATTTTTAATGTCTATGTGAGGATTTGAAATAACAACTTATAGAAAATAATTGATAGATGGCTAATTGGAAATAAAGCCCTAATCAATGGTGGTACGCTCGAAAACCTGGATATATGTTGCCGTTAGCTAGTGGATTCTCTGACAAATTGTTTCCATCCCGAGCAATTAAAGTATCTGTTTCGATCTTCTTACTTTATCTTGACCTTTGCAGTAGGTGGTTCATCTCACATGACCGGAATCTATGATTTGGTCTCGGTGTTGACTCACAAAGGCAGGAGCGCAGACTCTGGGCATTATGTTGCCTGGGTCAAACAAGAGAGTGGTCAGTTCCATTAAAAAGACTTAATTATAACTCTAAGCTCCAACATTTGTGTAAATTCAACCTTGAAAACAACACCTCTAACACATGTTTTAACAGGAAAGTGGGTTCAATACGACGATGATAACACGAGCCTTCAACGCGAAGAGGATATAACTAAACTCTCTGGAGGAGGTGATTGGCACATGGCATACATCATAATGTACAAGGCTCGTCTTGTCTCAATGTAATCTCTTCTTCTCTTGATTTTAGTACTCGGAACAGTCAAGCTCTTTGTATACACTATTGCTCCTCTTTATCTGAATTTTTCATTCGTAGAGATTTTACATTATTTTTCTGTTGTCATTACAATGTTATAAGACCAG